TTGCGGGTTCGAGTCACGGCACGGCACTGTGTTTTATCTTTGAGCAAGATACTTTACTCCGCTTGTTCCAGTCTACTCAGCTGTAAATGAGTATGTGGTTAGACAGTGCTAGAAATGTAGAATGTTAGCTATGAGCGCCGAAATGACAGCACCAGCTGTGTGCTCCCCAGGGATTTGAGAAAGATATTGGCTGGTTGCAAAGGCCCAATAACCACGGCTAATAATTTGTGAACCACTTTAAGACGACCTACGGACATGGTTGTGATAAAGCGGTATATAAGAACCTCGAATTATTATTATCATTATCATTATTATGGCATCTATAACGTTTACTAACAGATTCAAACTGGGATTATGTATAGGATGATTTACCAGTTACAGTAAAACAAGGTTAGTACGAACACGCTTATTGCAATTCCATGGGTATTGCGAACTGATTCTGATTCCTCAGCCCTTTCTTACTTTCGTGCAATTTTATTATCATAGTGCAAATTTCATCAAGCGAATTACTATCTAGGAAGCATACCAGCGGTCCCCTTCAGTTGAGAATCAATGTTATTTTAACATCCAACTTCTAATCTCGATCGTCACCGAGAGGTCCCAAAGGGAAACTGTTAGCTATTTGCGTATATACGTCAAAAGTGAGTTGTGATTTCAATGACAATAAGTGTTGGGTTGTTTATCTACCATAACTTCAAATGCTTTTATGTGATATAAGCAGACTAATTAATACAATGAATTATGTTTTCGATGAAAATCTTCATGTTGAGTTAAGACCGAAGCTGTCGATTTTGAGATCACCAGGCTTTCCAAATGAGCTTCAAGTTGTGAGCATTGTGTTCATATCCATATACGTTAAGATAAATTAAAATATTCCATTTGATTTTTGTTTACGTTTTTTAAAGGTTACTTCATTTAGCGATGATTTAACCCTCGGCTCAAATTAATAAATTGTTATAAATGCAGGAAGAAGCAATCTGATTGAAATCGTCTGTTGCATGGCTTCGTTAACTTCGTACTGTGATGTTCAGGCGGAGCCATGTTACAGATGATTTTAATCAGATTGAGAAAAAAGTGTCGTTGCATCGCCGATGTGGTAGATTTCCCAAATACTATCTGCGTTTTAACCGCCTGCTGCCTAATTCTCGTATTTACAGGTAGCAGAGTACAGTAAAAACGGCCTGATCCTAAACACAAAGGGAATGTCTCAGATAAAAATGGATTGTGGATTCAACCTGGACAACACAGCTAAATGTATTTATTTATAAACTACATTTTGAATACATTATGTTTAGAAGACTTTATTTTTTTCAAAAACTGTTTTCCTCAGATTTGTGACTTGTGATAACCATGGTTACCACATGAAGAAAACGCCGAAAAATGCAAAAAAACTTGATTTTTAACCAAAAACTTGACCCCCGCAAGTACATTTTTTTCTTAAACCCTGTCATAAATTAAATATTGCCTACTCGGTAACAGAAATACTCACGTTTTAGCATCGGTCATTCCGGTAGAATTTTTTTACAGTATTTACACATGTGCTGAGTACAAAAAAAGAGTACATGAAAAGCTTGCTTTTATTGTGTAGACACAGATTTGCAAATGCCCAAAACTGTAGTCCCAAACCAATATTTTGTTTTGAACATTTATGAAGCCCGCATAGTACACTTCATCATGTATATGCCAAGTTTAGTGCTGATTTTATACATTTGTATAAATATGAAATAAAATGAAGTTTATACAAACCTTTTTCTGACGTTATGTTTCTGTAACTTTTACTTTGACCTATATCATAACTCAACAATAAGGCTTAGGACTCTGTGTTTCCAAAAATAGTTTAATACTTACATAAATAGCTCGAAATTATTTTTGAACTCATATCATTCATTGTAAATACTTGATATTGTGCTTTCTTTTTTGAAATCAGTTTATGATAAACTTTGTCTTTCTAACATCCCACATATAGGAGCTTGTTACCCTGTATTACAGGAGCTTGTTACCCTGTATCAGCCGTCACGATCACTGCGGTCGGAGTCATAATCTTTGTTGTGTGTCCCAAAATCTCGTACTGTGACCTACGGAAACAGACGCTTTGGGAGGGTTTCGGCTACGTTGTGGAATAGCTTACCATCTGCAATTAGAAAGTCTAATACCCTGGCCAAGTTCAAGAGGGACATCAAAACTCACCTCTTCACGTCTGCATTTTAGAATCTTTGCAAAGACGTTATGTAAAACCACCCTTTTATTTGGTAAAGTATGTGCACACCTCTTGCTTAAATGTATAAAAGTGATTGTAAGCCTTTGTTTTTTTGTTTTTACAATTATAACCATTACTATAGCTATTATCCATATGTTGTAAAGCGCGTTAGAGTAATTTTACAAATTATATAGGGCGCTATATAAATGTTGTATATTATTATTTATTATTATTATATAACTAGCTTGCTACTGTATGCAGATATTTCCTGGTAGGCTCTTTACTATTCACAGTTTCCATAATGATGTCTACATATTCTCAGAGTACACAATTTACACAATTTAGGAATGATGTTGACATGTACACAGGTTTCTCGATAAAATTTTGTCGAAATATTTATTTTCAAATAGACTATGGAAAAGATACAGACAAGATCGTTGCCTTTTTTTTTTTTTTTTTATAATTTCGAAACAATAGATACCTTTCAGCTTTAGTGTTGTTCTCCTTTGTTTCTCGGTTCATCTGTTGTACTTATTTTTCCGCTAACTTTTTTATATTCTTGAAGATATTTACGATGTGTCCCAAGTAAATACCAGAAACAGAATGAACGACTTTATTTATTTTCCAACATATATTCAAAATGTGTATGCCAGGTAAGCGCATTCCATAAAATATGTTTTGTCTAATTTGAACAATTACCTGGTTGGACCGATATCCAATTCAAACCTTTCTATTTCCACTTTTGCATTGCTTTCAACATCAGAAGTACATACTGAAGTTAACGTATTTCTTTTTGAGGATCTTTTACATTATCTGTTTTAATATCTATATATCTATATATCTAACTGTCAATTGAGAGCCTGTCATGTGATTAAAATGCTTCAGTGGAAAATGACGACAGTAAGATTTGATATGATGATTAGAATGTTTGCCCTTTAACAGTATGTCACGACAATACGTTCATTGATATAATTTATTTCTATTTTGTACGTCATTCAAACTTTTTTCTTTGTAAAAAAAGTACGTTCCTATCACTATACAGGTGAGCTGCCATTTCATGTTGTAGAAATAGCGGTTTATCGATGAATAAGAATTTTGGACATGGTAAAATATCACATTATTTGTAGTACATTTTTATTTATTTACATTTGCGCTGCAACCTACTATATGAACAGTAACAGCAAACATACATTTCATTTGAGTATGAAAGCAAAACCTCTCGTGACGTAACACTTTCTTTACTTAGGACGTAATAGATTAACATTGCTCAATGAAAGTATTGTCGCTTTGCTTCGGATAACGTGGAAAATGCCCCTACGTCAAACGATCAAATAACTACGGTTAATTATTGGCGCCAATTCTATTCAAAATGGGCTGTTCCGTCAATATCGTTTAAAGGACGAAGCATGTATAAAACGCAGTAAATCAATAAATTATTTAAGAACAAATAGATAAAAATAAATACTTATTCTATGGTAAAATTGGAAATATATGGATTAACGTTTTTTTTTTAATTTTCATGCCGGTATGAACGCAAATCGGTTACATCTATACTAACCGATTTGCGTTCATACCGGAATGAAATTTTAAAAAAGGCCGTTCAATCCCTATATATTTGGGGTAAAACTGTAGTTTTGATTTTATTTCATTCAAGTGCAGCCTTTTAAAAATGAGTATATGTCTCTACGTGGTAAAAACAAATTCTAGATCGCCACCATCAAAGTGTAAAGGAAGTGACTCCTATTGAAAATTGAAAGATAGAGTATAGCCTAGATACAAATTTAGATATTTTGTCAGAGGTGTAAACATTTTACTCAAATCTTTTCCAAACCACCTCGCTACGATTATCGCTTTTCTAAGTGGATCCGTTTGCAATGTGTGTTTTGATTGGATACGGACGTTATCTGCGGTAGAACCATTGTTCAATGGAGTTAAGCCCCATCCACTGTATTTAAGCCACAGCCTATTTCTAATTAAGAAGACATGAATGTTTTTGCATGTTCTATAGGGAACCGTGTAGTTATATTGACAAAATGGGATGTATGTATTGTGACTGATAAACTCGAGAAAGTAAAAGGTTGACAAACTATCCAAAACTTCCGCCTCGTCTACAAACAAGTCGAGCGCGGTAAATGACCGACATTCTTACTGATTGGTCAGTTCGCTGTAGAGTGACACGTCACAAACATAGTTCATATGTCTACTACGATTTACTATATACTTATAGCTAGATAAACACTATGTTTTAAGAAAATGAACTTAGTATTTGGTAGTTCAAAGTAAATGTCATGCTCTTATCGCAAATATGCCACCCAAAACGATTTACTTTCCCCTAAGCAAATATTTGCGTTTTAATTGTCAGTTTTAAATACGTTTTTTTCAGTAATTACACCAAACCCTCCCATGATCAGTTAATGAAGTTGGTACTGTACGTTCTTAATAAATTTTATGTTAATGAAGTTTCAATTTATACGCATTTTGATGTGCGTCATCGAGGTCAAATACTATCTGTTATGCTTTCAGTAAGTTCAAATTCAGTATGTTAAAATAAATATGTCGTACTTGTAAATTGATGTTCACTGCTAAGTTAATGCATGATATATATTCTAGACTCAATACTAATTTAATCGGGATTGTAACACAAAAGCAGTCTTTCATTTGTAGCCACCAACTGTGTTTACAAATTGTATTTGAATATCTCAGTTCTATCGTAGGTGTGTGATTTAAGGCTGAAGGTATACCAGGGCACAGGACTGTGACGGACTGGGTGGAAGTCATATTAATAACATTGTGTGTATACGACGACCACAGTCGGAAGGTATACGATATACACTCATGTTCAGGTTTTACTTCAATATATGTCACATGGACTCTTCCTGTGTATATCTTTGACATGACATATAGGATCGGTTGGTGCACACATGGAAACTTGAAAAAATCAATGTAAGTAGTATCGTAAAGTACAAAACTTACACTTTAAATCTAGTTTTGTGCTTTCAGCTTTTCTTTTTTTTTTGACATTTACATAATAAGCAGGACGTCAGTGAAAACTTAAATGTGTACAATCCTTCGACATCATATTGTGTCCCGACTGCAATTCTTTCGATAGATACATTTGTGTTTTTTTTATTTCTAAACATACATGTACAACTTTTACGATGAACTGACTCAAAATCTAAAGTTTTTTAAAGAATAATAAATTAAAAAAACGTCTGTGTAAATTCATACTAGTCTAATATGATAACTTTTCTACGAATCATTTATTACGATTATCCCATCGTTTACAAGTGTGTTAAATAAAATTATTAGCATAACATACTTATTATTACCAAAAAATGTAAAGTCGGTAGCTTGTTTATAAGTTCATCTAGCATTGGAATAGAGGTAATTTATACTCATACTTGCTTCTGGCCTTGTTAGTTTACTTTGGTACAGCGAAGAAACTGCATTACTACAGAAAACAAAGAAAGAAAAAAATATCTCAATTTTCATTTGCTGTGCCTAAGTCCTTTTTTCAACTGTTCAAATAGAGTAAGTACATGCATATTCTTTTAAACAGAAATAGAATGAAAACGTTCTAATTAAAGATATTTTACATGGTAAACTATAATAAACATGCTAAATTGATGATTTATTTAAATCATGTTTCGCGTGTCATTTTCCTACGCGTTTAACATACAATTCTTTATGAATGTATTTTAAAGTGAATTCTTTCTAATACTCATATTACCGTTTTTATTGTATTATAATAAGACGTCATACATGTATAAGGTGTCATAGGTCCTCAGACGCATTCAAGTTTCACAGGAAAAATAAATTGAATGTAAGAAAACTTTGACAAGCATGTGAGATTTTATCTTAATGTCAAACGTCTATCATGCGTATGTCTATTGAAATGAAACACAATCTGTTTGTCTTAAAAATATATGATCTTGAACTTGTAACGTACCAAAAAAGAGTGTATAAAGGAGTAAGAATCATCCAACATAGTATATATATAATACTTATATGATCGTAATAACCCAGGGAAGGAAAGAACATTAGAGGAGTGCATCCGATATTTCAGAGATAACGTTCCGAGAAATAATCCATAACAAATATTCATAATAGGTTGATTGTACATGCTTTTGGTGAGACATCTAAAACGAGAAGAAGACAAAGCTGATTGTCTTTTGCTTACCCACGACACTCCTCGTGTTAATCGTGGGCAAACCCATGTGGTGACGTCATAACCTCAAGTTGATGACCGGGTGTAGCGACGACGAAACCAAAGGCAGACAATTCAAAAAAATGAAAGAACGTCTGTCCTTATTGATCTATGATTGTTATCATAATTGTGACTTTAATAGTCATAGAATGCATTTTTCGAAAACTTTGACGTATATTTGTCAATTACCAACATTTTACCTTAACTTATTTTCAAAAAAAATAAGTTCCTTTTTCTACTTTTAATTGATCATCGGTACAAATGAATATGACAAACACCGTTGAAAAAGAAATCTTCATTCTATTCTACAGAGACCTACCCACAATTAAATTTCGATCCTTTGTTGAGTAACCATGGGCGAGGAGAACCTACTACTCGAGTCGACAAGTCGGACCTACCGCGCGCGTTGGTGGATTCTCATGTTGTCTTCATTCCATTTCATGCACCAGAATGTCGGCCTCAACACGTGGGGACCAATAGCCCAGTCTGCCAAAGGAGCCTATGACTGGGAAGATACAACTATAGTGTTTATCCTCAACATGGGTCGATTGGGAAGCATCCTCTACATCTGTATCGGATCATATTTACTAGACAAAGCCGGTACGTCAGCTAATACATATTCTTAAAATATCGTTTCATAATCCCCGCATTTTAAAGAATAGTTCAGTGATAAAATATCCAAAGTAATGTCTGTTGAATGATTAATTGGCATTATTTGGGCATTAATTGTATTTTATACATTTGTTTAACGTATGGGATAGTTAGGACAATGCAATATGGCTTAAAATAACAAGAAAATACCGAAGTATTAACATAACATTTATTCGAAATAAAATGATAAAACTAGGGCAAACATGAAAATAGGAAAGATTGACATGGCGACCCTTGAAAACAAAGTACAAGGAAAATTAAACCAAGTGTTCCGGAAGGAGAAGACCGACATCACCCGTTATGTAAATCTAAATCAAATCCAAGAAATGGTACGTCATCACATCTAAAACTCTGGTCGTAACAACAACACATGGCATACATGTACCTAATGAGAATAAACAAAGAAATAGCATATTTCATTATGAGTTCATGAAGGCGAACATAATATGTGTCCTTGGTTTTCGTAAAGGACAACAAAATGCGTCTGTTAGCGACGTTTGGGCTTTTTCTTACATTTCCCATGGCTCTCAAAAAGAAGAGAGAATATGAATTGACTGTAAAATATCAAACTTATGAATAGATAAACATTAGTGTATTTTTTATGATAAGGTAAACTAATAATTTTGTTTCAGGATTACGTGTTGCAATGATAACATATTCAGTCAATATGTTAATAAGTAATAGTTTGCGGTCACTAAGCAAGAACAAGGAAGTCTCGTTTATGTAAGTATGTTAATGGTAATAGTTAAAAGCAATGACCGTCCTCTTGACTTTATGATGCCTAAACTGTTAGATCGTTTTAGTTTCTCTACAAACGCATATAATTTTCACACGTTATGTTCTCTCTCTTACACAAGCGGTCCAATGTTCAGATGAACATCATTTTGATTTTTGAATTCATAAAGGGATATGGATTCCACCTATATTTGTTAATGAATCACATCTGTCTTACCTAAGTACATCGATACATTCAATGTTTGATAAGCCATAACATCGCAAAACAAATCTACCTAATGATTTTGGAATTATCGAGTATGTTGTCATCATTGTTTTGATTCTAAAGGTTAACCTTAATTGCTATAGATACAATTATGATACATGACTGATTTTTATTACAAGACTCATTACCATCGGTGAGTTTCTAAATGGTTGTAATGGAGTCACATCATTCGCAGCGCCACCTATTTTAGCAGCAAGGTGGTTTCCACCTGGGGAACGAATTACAGCCTCAGCAATTATGGTACTTTCTGCATATGTTGGGGACGGCTTATCCAGTCTCATAGGTAAGACAAAAAGCTTCCCAGCATCGACAGTCCGTTGTTTTTGTGTAAAAATGTTAAACAAATACGCTGAACAATTGCAAAGGTTTATTCAACATCAAAGGTGACAGACACCAGCAATTATTCTAGAAAGTCATTACCTAATGCGTGTCACATATGTGAGTGACCATAAGCTGTGTATGTAGCGGTGTTCCACTAGCCCCTTTGTGACTTATACCTACAGCGTCGATTACAAGTCACAAATGACAATGTCTACGACAACGGGCGGCGTTCATTAATGAATGTGAAGCACAATGCAATACCAAAACAATGAGCACGTCTAAGACAATTAGGATTTTGATAACGAAAGTTTCAATTCCGTTACTTACAGGGTACATAAATTTCACGCTATATTTTGACGTAACGAATTCTTCCTTTAAAGAACATTTGTCAATTTGAAAATATGGTTGAAAATAGAAATCTGAAATATTTCGACGTTTTCGTTATAAAGAGCCCCCTAAACGCATACATGTATTTGGTATAACTGGTATCATACAAAAATAATGTTGAATAGTGTTATTATTTTCATTTTTGTAACCATATTAGTAGAAAATATGTTCGTCATTCGGTTAAGGATTTTAAATCTTAATAAGAGTATTGTTTCCCCTTAATTCAGGTCCAGTGATTGTTGAGAAACCAAACTTTGCCAACAACAGGTAGAGTTATAGTTTTCTAAATGAGAAATATATAAATTGTAAATGCTATCACAAAGAATTCATATGAATTGTTATATAGTTACAAATGTACCTCACAAGGAATGTATCAATGGCCAACAGAACACATTTAACTTAAAATTATGTGGATCAACCGATTTGTTATTACTTTTATATTCAGTTTGTAAATCAACAAAACATACTACATGTATTTGTTCTTTATAAATCGCTTATACTACATGTATCGTGATACATACATGTAGTATAAGCCCTTAGGTAATCAGAAAGATGACAAGAAGACATTAAATATCGAATGAGGTATATATATATATCTATATATAAACTCTACTTTTGAAAAAGAGAATTACATTTTTTGAATACTTCCGTTATCACGGTAACTTATAATCAAAATTTGGATTATAAAATAAAATATTTTCATAGAATCATTGAACAGGCAATGGAACAGGAAACTTTTTAAAAAAATTTGAAAACAGATTTGTTTACTGTAAATGATTTTTATTTGTACTGTGTTTCAGCATTGCGAATGACTCGACACTGACAAATGGTACTACAAGCGGTAAAGTACCTATTTTTGATGAATTAAATCTGATAGGTTATAATCATTGTTTTCATTTCTATAAAAAAAATCGATATCATGTGTGATATTGACAGACTTTTAAGATCGGGCCTCTTTCATACGCTACGAGGAAGAAGAAAATATTTATCGGGTTACGGCTGCTTATAACGTATAACTAGTAATAAAATAAACTTAATATTTTACAGTTGACAATTAAAACTCTTTTATTTGTAGACTTGCTAGTTGCTAATGCCGATGAAATCTTGGATGAGGTGATGATCTTTCTCTATATACGTAAGTACGTCAATATTCATCAAATGCTAAAATGTATATATGTATGCATACTAGTTAATTATGTGTTCGTATGTTTGTTTCCATCACAGTCTTTGACAACCACATCGATTATTGTCCTACTTGAGGAAACATTCTCGTGGCTGGATGACAGACAGAAATGTAATGGCATTAACATTATTAAAATTTAACTCCATCTGAAATCCTAGCATGATAGAAATTCATAAACGCAAGGTTTTGTTTCCATGTAACTGAATATTTTACAAGTACCCGGAAGTTCTGGCTAAGACAATGGAACATGTATCAATCATATATAAAATAAGGAAGGTGTGTTATCTTGATGATACTAACAAAAAAAGTAACAATAATAAATATTGATTAGGGAAAGATAGTTTATTAACCGAAACGAGATTATCGTAATAACACAACTTTTCCCCTTGCATCCCCCTCCCCCCCCCCCAAAAGAACAAAAACAAACAAAAACAAAAAACATAAACAAAGACAAAAAGCAAATATTTTTTTTTAACAAAAATGAAATACACAGACATCTTTCAAACGTATAACAAGCGGGACTATAATGTAACAAAACGCACTGATATTGACTACACACCTACGCACTACTACTTAAATTAATGTAGTGTTTAAAGTGATGAAGCCTGCTTGCTGTACCTTTTGTATAGAGATCAGGTCATCCGTGATAAAGACTGAATTTCACCTTCATCTATACCCCCTTTATCTATATTTCATCTATTAAGTCAAGGCTGAGTGAGGACGTGTCCTATGGAAGGGATAGATATTATGTATATTCAAAGTACACTGAAAATCTGTATATCGCCACTTCTATTTGCTGATGTGATGTTAACCAGCATGTAGGCTATTTCATACCCACTGTCAAGAACCAATAGCAAGCTTTCGAAAAGTTAATGTCTTACATGTATGACGTGTCGATTTCCGGTTGTATATTTGAAACTTTCTTATTCAATTATTCGAGAAAAGGGCACTATTGTAGAAACTGAAAGGTCGGGTATAATACAGTTCAACTAGATTTGTGTGTGCTGGCACATTTGTTAAGCAATTGTAAGACAACTTATAAATAATTGATTACTTTTCGTACAATTCTAAGCCGTTACATTTAGATTCCCGAAGTGTACTGTCAGTCAATGTCTAACAGTGGTTTAAAGTTCGTTAACTTTTGTGAAGCTAATTGGCTGTTCTTAATCCGATTTATAAATGTAGAGTAAGCATTCGATGTTTTCCATAGACATATTAAAGCGCTGTTTATTATACAAAAAGGAATGCTTTTGACAAGTCTTACGTTTGAAACGTTCGAAAGGACAGGTTTACGCTATTTTTAGAATGGCTTAGTGTCGGCTAATAGTTACTGTATTTGAAATGTCAAGTTTAGGTTTGAATAGATTTGTCATCAAAATCAAATATAACAGTACAATATACAACAGTTATCAAAACTTTGGTAATTTGAAAACATATGAATCAGACAACAACATGCTTCGTTAGTTCATCTATAAGTATTACTGAGTGTATTATTTAGATCATAAGTACCATGTTACATATAGATATATTTTGATGTGTATATGCTAACAATGGTTTACATAGTGAAGCCTTTAGGCTTGCTTTTCTGTTTAGATGAAATAGAGTATCATGTAGCACTGAATCATACATTGACCGAGTGCGACGTATCGAGACCTAAAATGTGATCACCTTTGTGATAACGTTCATAAAGTGTTATTAATAAATCACTGTAATCACATTTTTATATCTTCTTCACTCATTTTATGGTAGTTTTTTTTATCTATTGTAAACTTACTAGCACTTGATTGGAATAATAACTTCATTTTTTTTATTATAACAAGGTAGAACGTATTAGGGAATGCATAATTATCTTCATGAAAGGTTAGACATGTTATTGTTGCTTGAATAAAACATGTTTCGAAACCATTAAATTGTACTACTAGTATTTTCCTTTGTAAGCTATGTGTTTATGTGGTCGTCGTATCTCTTTATTTGTTGCATATTTGTCTGTCTGCATCGCTGCAGATTCATATGACAAGATATGTTCCTTTATTCCTCTCCCTGCGTTTTCAGTTCTCTTTCAAAATCAGAATCAATATTGTGATACATGTATATTTTGTAATGCCCTAGTTGAACAGACATTTCATAAGTCCATGGGGAATAACATACCTCATCACGTTCATCTCCTTATATATGTTTGAAGCAAATTCATTTTAATTATGAAGTACATGTAGCACCTCCCTAAATGACCATGTGTTATAAATGGCATATGTGTCGATACCATTGCAAATTATCTAGACAAAATATTTGTTTATTACCTGCTATGCGTTCAACGTCTTTTGAGGCATCTAACACGTCTGTTGTCTATATGTGATAAGTGTCTAAGATGTATGACACACCTCCCGCACAAATCCAAATGGAATACAGCTCTTAGCAGTTGTCATCTTTTGGTTCAAACTATATCTTTCCTGGTTTTGATTTAAGTGCTTCTATATACTGCGTTCAACATGTAGTATATTGTCATATTTTAAAAGTATGTAGACAGTATTACAGTGTGTATATACCATTAAGTGTGGGGTATTGACAATATTACAGTTATGTGTATTACATTTACACCTCTGATCTGAAACTGGTACCTTAGCATTGTTGTAATTTGTATATTTTCTCCAGAGTGTGGAGTGTCGGCAGTGTTGATGATTGCGACTGTTGCATACTTTCCTGATAAACCGTCTTCAGCTCCCAGTACTTCAGCTGCAATGTCCAGCCTCAACTACAGGGAATCGTTCTGGAAACTCGTAACGTAAACCAAAGTCCATCCTCTGCCTTACTGCGCAATGTCAGTGGTTTGAATTTGTCTTGGACGCGAGCTAGGGTTTATTAATTTTTAAGTCATTTTCGAGATCCATTTGAAGAGGAAAACATATTTTATGAAATATTTTCACGAACGAACTAATGACGGAAAGAATATTATATTCACACTATTGAATAAGAAAATATTTTGTTCGCACTTTCTAGTTAGGAAGGTAAATGGAACATGGAGTATATTGTTTAAATACGTCATTTAAAATACCAAGTATACTTAAACAACAAAATCCATTTATTGAATTAGATAGGTTACAGGAAGGATAGAGAAATTTGAAAAACTCACCTCAAATGACTGAAACAAACATAACTTAATCCATGTCAGTATAAATAGAATACTACTAATTGTATTGTATCTCCACAGCACAACGTGGTCTTAGTGTGCTTATTTTAAAATTAACGAGAGGAAATGATCTGTTTTATGTTTTGGTATTTATGAATATGTAAGATAATCTGATCCCCTGTAACATTGATACTATTACTACAGAAACAAACGGCTGGTGTTCCTGGTGCTTGTGTTCGGTATAATGGTTGGGGTATACATGTCCTGGATCATGGTAATAGACATCATATTCGACCCCATGGGCATATCACAGGTAATTTCTATTTGCCCCTGTTCAAGATGATGCCAGGTTGGTGAAATAACTACACGACGGCTCTAGCTCAAAGGCATTTATAAACCATAATTGTTTAAGTAAGATTTTTTTTTTAAATGCATATCTTTCATTGTTCCTGTGGTAAAGGATAAAATGCTCTCAGATATGCCTTTCCGTATTGTTTTGTTATCTTTTACCAGTTATCCGTTACTAACTGTTGACTGTCGTTTTCTATGTGATGACACATGATGGAACCAATTATCTGTCATCCTGATTGTTGTACGTTATAATCAGAAACCTAAAATAAAGTTTGCTGATAAATTTAACTTTATGGGAAAATGAAAAGTGCGTAGTGAAAGACAATTACTGTTATTTTTGAGACAATCTGGAATCAGACTAAAGCCATCATGGCAACCATCTTGATCTTGAATTCAAATCATTTTGAGTAAAAATATTAATTACGTGGTCCTGACCATATTTTTCACGTAGACTTCAAAACAAGCCTCTCAAAATATAAATTCAAGAAAAATTCGAATGTTAATGTGTATTTAAAACCTTCATGAAAACAATGTTGGTATTGACAAAATAATCATTTTGTTAAATCGCTAAGGCTATGCAGTCAAATTCGGGCCTCAATCTTAAATATCTATATTTGGATAATACTAGAACATATGCTAAATAAGTATATCAAAATACATGCTTTACATGTGTAATAAGAAATATAATCGCAAGAAGAGCCCAAAAGTGGGCGAATGTGCTAGCCAGATATATTCTTTGAGTGTATTATCAGTCATTAATTGGTTCAATATCATATTTTATTGGATAAATCTGAAGAGCCCAGTAAGGAATGACTAGTTTTATCTTATTATCTTTATATAAATTTGAATAAATAACATGCTGTAGTGATGTCAATATTCCTTTTGATGGTCAATCATAATTTTGTACGTTATTGATTTCCTTTTCAGTTGAACGCGGGATGGATAACGTTTTATACCATTATAACGGGCAGTATACTTGGGTTCATTATAGCAAGGTAAAACCTCTCGAAATTTCGGTATTGTCCGTACCATGAATTTCACGTACTACATAAACAAAAACAGAAAATTAGAATCCAGTGTTTTTAAATATAACAGTTTACCGATTACATAGCTTTAGCGTGTTTCAACTTTCATTTCCAGTGTAAGTGTGATATCAGAGGTAATACCTTGCTTGGTAATATTGGGTGCAAAATATACAAAAATCCAATACTTAAGGCTGTGTGAATATTTTAGTAACATTGGTATGGCTGATTTGGTTTATACTGCATATGAATTAAACAAATTTTGAGAATCTCATTATTATCATTGATGACTCATCTTCTAACTTTTAATTTACTTCTATGAAATTGCTTTTTTGTGAATATAGAAGAAATTATTTCATTGTTGGGTGTTTTTCAGGTTTTCCGATATATTCATGAAGCGACTGAAGCCCATTTTATTAACTTTGTTTGTATTCACCATAACAGCCTTCTTGTGGATCGCACTCATAGCTAGTGAAATCCTTCCTTATTCTACATGTAAGTCTTTTGTGTACATTTTACTTTTAAGGACACTGGTTCATCGTTTCTCTAATATGAATCTTTCAGGAGCCTGATGTCAAACATACATGTATATTTGGGTTAAAATGATTCCGTTTTACTAGCTGTACGATACGTGTTTTTGATGTCTAACATACATGTATATTTGGGTTAAAATGATTCCGTTTTACTAGCTGTACGATACATGTTTTTGATGTCTAACATACATGTATCTTTGGGCTAAAATGATTCTGTGTTACTAGCTGTACGATATGTGTTTTTGATGTCAAACATACATGTACTTTTGGGTTGGATGATTCGGTTTTACTAGCTGTACAATACGTGTTTTTGATGTATTTTGAGGCACTAGTGCTACCATAAATGCTGGAATGCCTTGTTAGAGAAATGTTTCGAATACATGATATTCTGTTTTTGAACAAACCAATAAAAACGTTCAGGTGAATATGACTTAAAACTTATTAAATACATGTTGTTTACATTATGTTTTTGGGCAACGGTGATGTAACATAGTAATGAAACGACTCGTCAGCCGTCAGATTCATATGTTTGTATATTTAATACCAGAAATTAAAACAGGATTTAAATAGTTTATATCTCATTTCATCATATCTCGATTAAAACACAAATCCAAAATAGAAATATAACTAGTTATCCAATATACTGACCACCAGCCGCTAAGGTTTAATAAAGATCGATTTTCCGAGATGTAATTTATTTCATATTTATTAGCCTTTCTTTCTCCCTCTAGTTTGATGACTTAAAAATTGACATCAAAGTGATCAAAAATATTGTATTTGTTTTATTCCTTAAGTAAACGAAATTCTGGAGTCGGCAGCCAGTCTAGCTATCCGATAATGTGGTTATTACTCAGTAAATCACACCATTATCATATTAAAATGTTTAATGAAATATTCAGAGCAATACAATTATCACTGAAGCAGGCATCGTAAAAATGAGTATACGGCAGCCGCTATGTTTAGGAAATCATTTACAACTACCCAAAAAACAACTAAATTTACTTTTTTCATCTCATTTCCAATACCCCTCCGTCGCTTTCCACCATTTTTTTTTATCCTGAAATTAAATTTTCAATTTATATCATGAAATCTTGTCAATATAAATGTATACCGACTTTTTTCGTGTTTATATAATTTGACCAATACAATTTTCAGTAAAATGTCAAAAATAGGATATAACAATATTAAATTAAGATTTCGTTGTTTTCAGGGCAGTTGTATGTATCCGCCATTGTGGGTGGTTCCCTGCTCAACGCGTCCTTCCCGCTGTGGTACGAGATTGTCAGCGAAATGTCCTTCCCTATACCAGGCGGTATCATTAATGGAATATCAGATGTCATCTTCCTTATCTTCGCCAATGTCTTTTTTGTTCTCATGTATATACCTGTATCAGGTGAGTATAATGAGCGTTATACGGAAAGGCCCCGAGAGTTCGAACATATTTCCTAAACAAAGATATTTTGAATTAAGATAATCAAGTCTTTCAACTAAAATACACACAGATTCCTTTAATAAAATCAACCAAAATTTGAAAAGCCGAGTACTGGTTGTAAGTTTCCACTATCCAACACGCTCAACCTCTCATTTAATTGTTTTAACTACTGTAACTCACAAAATGGACGATTTCTTGCGCTGAATGGTATGCGTGTAGCATATTGTGATCACACGACAACACAAATAAATTGTTTGGTTTGAGGTTGTCTAATATGACCTATCTCCCTCTCCTCAGACTATCGATGGATGACGTGGATTATGTTCGTGTGTTCCATGCTAGGCTTTGTGACGTTGGTGTTTTTCCCTGTGACGTACATTCGGACTGATATTGACTTGGAGGCTAAGGAAGTGAATGACAATCAAGGCAACGAACTCGACAACATCACTCTGGGGGCCTCACAAATGATAGAATGTACAAGTGATAAGGAGAGTTAAAAGTACAACAAGGCCAAAAGTGTAATTGTGAGACTTAACGTGAATTGTGAGATATAAAGTGTCATTGTGAGACAGATTTTTTTATGTATAACAGTGAATTATCTTCTGATAACATGCACAATAACATGTACATGTATCGATTTTGATACATGTACCGTGCGTTCCAATTAGTATTTGAATATGTGTTCATTTTGTAACATTTTTGTTCTATATTATGCAATAATCAAAATGGATCGTCACTTGTAATGCACTTTTATCTTCAGAATTTCTTTCAAAATTTGATCAGATCTGTGCCGAACAATCAATAACCATCATAGATTGTACTTTCACTGTGCTACTGCCTCAGGTTAGGTCTTTGATTTTATCAGCTCTGCCCTGTTTAATATCTTTTAGTTTATTAATTGTACTAGATGTGTCCTGTACAACCAACTGCTGTCATGAATTTAACAATGTGCTTTCTTAACCATCAGCTTCCCTCATAAAACTTAACATATCGCTTCTGAACCATAGGTTACATTAGTTTTGTTGCTATTTTTACCACGCCTCTGCTGCGCTATTTGTTTTAATAATTACTTGTACAAGACCTGTTATGCACAAGGGGCCGCGATGGGAAAGTGGTTAAGGCGTCTGACATTCTGCTACCACTTGCTCCCACCACTGGGTCGCGGTTTCGAGACCTACCCGGGGCAGTCGCCAGGTACTGGCCGTTGGTTTTTCATCGGGGTTTCCCTCCACCACCAAAACCTTGCACGTCCTTAACTGACCATAGCTATTAATAGGACGTAAAACACAAACGAAATAAAGCAAACCAAACCTGTAATGTACCAAAGGTTCATTCCGTTTATTTGTGACGTTTTGCGTATAAAGTCTGCTGTTCCATCAGCTGTTGTCATTAACTTAACGAGGTATGTGGCGGTTCCCAGTTGTCAGTGATGTACCACCAGCTGTTATCGTTATATAAGCCCGTGTTGTACTGCTATCAGTCATCGTCGTTATTTTTATCAATTTTTTTATTTTACCGCCAGCTGTCTTTGGTATCTGTACCTAGTATGTGTTGAACTGCCAGCTGTCTTTGGTATCTGTACCTAGTCTGTGTTGAATTGCCAGCTGTCGTCAAGTATATGGTGTACACCAGATGTTGTCATTGTAACGGTTCTGTGCTGCATCGCAAGTTGTCATCGTTACTGTTACCAAGTATATGATGTACCCCGGATGTCGTTGTCGTAATGTATCTGTGCTGTTCCTCCCGCTGTCGTCATTTAACTCACATGAAATCTACCAAGTCTGTGTTGTACTTAAGTCATCATCATTTCGTTTACCAAGTATGTGTTGTACTCCAGATGTCGTCGTTGTATTGTATCTGTGTTGAACAGCCAGCTGTCGTCATTGATCTAACATTGATTTTACCAAGCCTGTTTTGTACCGCGAGTTATGGTTATTTTTACCAAGTATGTGTTGTAGACAAGATATCGTATTGTTACGTATCAGTGATGTACCGCCAGCTTTCGTGTATTAACCTTACTAAGTCTGTAATGTATCACAAGTTCTCGCAGTTCATGGTTCATCTTCACATGTTCACCATGTTTCGTTTGTATGATACTTCCCCGATAATAATTACTATTGTCATACACAAAACTGCGTTTTTTCTCTTTAGAAGCACCTTTGGACATGAGAAGTTATAATGTATTATCCATGTGATCTATAATTTCAGTAAGATATGCATCAGTTTTATTTTTTTCAGTTCTTGTCCTTTTGCTTGTCGATGTATGATCAACACAACATTTACGAATTGCACACAGGCAGCTTATGATTAGATGTACGATTATTTGACGGGGAAACGTGTGACAGAAGGCGAAATTTATATTGTTCTGATTTTGATACTAAAGGAGAATAAGTATCAGATCCGAGAAAAAAAATTAAACGAATAAAATGCCAGTTGTCTTACTTTTTTTGAGTTTTCATTGTTACCGGTACTCATAAAGTCACATAAGTAAGTGGTACACATCAGTCTTTGAGTCAATATTCAGGCGATTGCGAGGAAAGGAGTTCAACAATTTAAAGTAGAGTTAGATTATAAAACAGCTATTGAGGTCAACATTAGAACGGATGTAGTGTCCATTATTAGATAACTCAAAATTCTTTTTGAAAACGAGTTATTCGTTTACATAATTAATTAAAGAAAATATGCATGGCTCTGGTCAAGACTAATTCTATACGATAATCTCGACTTGGCTTATGTTTGTGGACCATGGATACTGGCTATATTATTGGAGGCACGGTAGTCTAGTGGTAGGACACCCGGGCTCGTGACCGAAGGGTTGCGGGTTCGAGTCACGTCGAGGCACTGTGTTGTATCTTTGAACAAGATACTTTACTCCGCTTGTTCAAGTCTACTCAGCTGTAAATGAGTTCGAACCTGGTTGGGCATTGCTAGAATTGTTGAATGCTAGCTCCGAGCGCCGAAATGGCAGCACCGACTTATGGTCCCCAGGGAGTTGAAAAAGATATTGGCTGGTTGCAAAGGCCCTATAACCACGGATAATAATTTGTGAACCGCTTTGGAAGACCTACGGACAAGGTTGTGATAAAGCGGTTTATAAGAACCTTGAATTATTATTATTATTATGGTACCTATAACGGTTGCTAACAGATTCAAACTAGGATTATTACTGATTTACCAGTTACAGTAAAACAAGGTTAATACGAACACGCTTATTGCGATTTTATGGGTATTACGCACTGATTCTGAATCCCCAGCTATTCTCCCTTTTACTTCTGTGTAATTTTACTATCAAATTGCGATTTTTTACAGCAATCGCCGATGTGGATTTCGTCAATACCGACTGTGATGTTATCAACTCGAAGAATATATTTAGATTGTATAGTATATACTCAATGTTTTTACAGTAAAGAGGAGGGAAAGAGAGGAGGTAGATTCGGTCGTCAGTGTTTCCATAGCGAATACTTATATTAACGATGTGCATTGTTTTCTCGGGGCTCAATTGGAGATCGTGGTCGGTACATGTACAGTCTCTCCGTCGTGACAAGTTACAGCAAAACACGATAACATGATTTTTCAAATGATCTTCAGGCTGTGAGCATTGTGTTCATATCCATACATGTAAAGATAAATTAAAATGTTCCATTTGATTTTTGTGTACGTTTTTTTAAGGTAATTTCATATAGTGAGGTATCTAAAAATACCAATTTATTTTCGCCATACACGTAATTCGAACTACCTTTATAACGAACGGATTAAGCAGATCCCGTGGGATTCGTTATAACCGTGTTTTACTGTACTCGTTTATACATAGTTTTAGTATAGGCTTCATGTGTTTACAGTTGCATGAAGGGGTTGTTTGTTTGGTATTTCAGCTTTTTCGCTTTTACAATCAGTTTATGATAAACTGTGCCTTACTTACATCCCACAGAATAAGCTTTCTACTGTACGCATATATTTCATGGAAAGCTCTTCACAATGCACGTTATTTTTAAAGGATGTCGACATATTCTCTAAGTACCATACATATGTATGTATTTCGACACAGTTGACATCTATTCAAATTGATCGATAACATTTAGTCGAGATATTTATTCTCAAATTGACTATAGAAACGATGCATACATCGTCGTACAATGTAGCATAGATTAATGTGGTTTTTTTTCAATTCTAGAACGTTTCGAAACAATAGATACCTTTACGCTTTAGTCTTGTTCTCATTTGTTTCTCGATTCATCCGTTGTACTTTATGTCCCCTAGCTATCTTATATTCTATTAACATTATTACCAATGTGTCCCAAAATAAACAACAGGAACAGAATGAACTACTTTGATTATTTTTTCATGATATCTTCCACATGTGTATGCCAGGTAAGCGCATTTCATAAAATATGTTTTGTCTCATTTGAACAATGATTTCAAAAACAAAAGTTCATAGTCAAGTAAACGTATAACGTTTTGAGGGTCTTTTAAATTAACTGTTTTAATATAAATATATATATAGCTGTCACGTGAGCGCCTGTCATGTGAGTGAAATGCTACAGTGGAAAGTGACGACTGTAAGGTCTTATATGATGATTAGGATTTTTGCCCTTTTACATTATTAGGTATGTCACGACAATACGTTCTATTGTGTACGTCATTTAAACTATTGCCTTTAATTTGTATAGAGAAGTACACGTGACGAAATAGATCAAATGCTCACGTGTGTTATCTCTGTTTTATCCTATATATCACAAAGGTCTAATATCATGACCAAACTGTTGAATATAATTTTATCAAGTCGAATTTAGTATTGTTAAGGTATTTTTCAAACTTTGTGTGACAGTATAGTGATTTACTATAGACCACCTACAAGGTGTCTCGATGGCAGTTACAAAACAGTAGCGTTTCCACTTTTAGTACTAGATGCCGAAGCTGGATACATAAATCACAAATAAAATTAATGAGATTTTGCAAACGTGTTTTTGCATGAACTGTCCATCTTGCTTTAATTCAAGGTGTTTGTTTACATTAGCGGGCTAGCTCATCGCCACGCCCCCTAACCCATAAAAGGCGATTGCCACATCCGAGTTCATAGATCAGAGGTCAACGCTTATTGGTCAGCTTAACTTGACAGCTAAACATTTAGAAGAAACATTTTTCAGAAGATCGCCATCTATAATTATACAGTCACAGCAATGTAATGTGAATTTTCAACATCTTGTGCTTGTTGGTTTGTCGTTTATGCATCAGTTTGCTTACGAACGACTGGTTGGTAATTTTGATCGAACATTTTGTTTTCTCCGCGAAGAGATTCCAATCGGTGAAGCTTCCCATGCATCAAAACTGTGAGCCAGCAACAGGATCAAAAACAAACATGGCGGCGGTACGCACACTACAGGAACCGTTCCCCCAATGACGGCTGTGGAAGAAGCAAACAGACAGGGAGAGTAGACTTTTTGTCTTAATTGTCCCTTGTATGTACATTTTAAGTAACGTTATATCTGTAGTTTTTCGATTTGGCGATGGCGAATAAAACTGTGTTGGTTTGGGGGCAGAATCGTTTGACTTCTGGGCAAGTTGGCAGGAGTTTTCGGAGTCCTCCAGATGACCGCTATTTTTCTGATCGCAAGACAAATAATACAAACCTGTGATGGACATCCGCTGACACCCGACGAGTGATTAAATACCTGCTCAGATTTCACCATAAATCAGAACCCATCCGACAAAATGTATGCTTTAAGTGAGCTGATCCCGAAAGTGACCACTGGTCATGCAGTAAAACAACATGGCGGAAGACACCGGAAGTGACTACTGATGACGACACGATGTATCTCCCTTCAACTTCCGCAGAACAAAACAACATCACTGGCCGATCAAACCAGCGACGTCGACGATGATTTGGGAAGTCTTCTCACTTCCATAGCTGAACACGACAGCTCTTTGAGCTCGGAACAAGATTCTACAGAGAGTTCGGAGCCTGACACTTTCCCCGAGCTCCGAAAGGTAAAGTCGATGCATAAGAAGAAGATTGTTCTTGGCCATATCAATATAAACAGTTTTAGAAACAAATAGGTTGCTCTACAAGAGCGACTATATGAAAAACTCATTGATATTCTTGTTATAACGGAAACTAAACTTGACGAATCCTTCCGAAGTGCTCAATTCGC